CACCTTTGAATGGAAGTGGGACAAAAAATTATAGAATTAAAATTTTTGAATTTATTTTAATAAGTATAGCTCTTCTCAGTGACTTTTTCGAACGAAATTTATCGAAATGCAGAACGGTATTTGCTCGAAACACTATAGTAAGAAATACTAGCAACATAAGAATATAAACAGAGTAGAATCAAGAATAATATAACAATCAACCTGCACATCTTTCTTTAATTTGCGGAATATAACATTCATCAACGAAACAAAGTTTCAACCATGTCAAATCAAGCCGACGTGATAGCGTCGCGTCGCTCACAATAAGTACACAAAACTCAAGTTTCATGATAGAAAGCCTCTCTCTCTTTTTTTAAATAAACTGCACGGATATGTACTGTATATGATCATTGCTATAAATAAGTTATTTTTCTTTCCCCCTCTTATCAATTTCGTCACTTATCATTCGCTCTACTTCGACGCTTATTCACGCGTCATTCGCGCAGTCTTACATCGAAATCTGTTGGAGAAATATTATTGTATAAAAGTTCTCTTAATTCTATATTAGAACTATAAAAGCTAACAAGATTGCGCGAACTTTTTTTACATAATTATACGATAAAAAAAAAATTAACTTTATGAGATGTACTAAAATATATGTTTGAAAGTTTTAACGTGAAGATGTCATTTGACGAAAACGGTTTGAATTGTTGCAAGAAGAAAAAGAATAAAAATAGTATTACGGAAGTATATCAACTGCCGGCTTTTTCTAGTCGAAAAGGTAATATTGTTTGTGTATTAGCATATATACGTGTGTATGCGTCTTTAGAATAGTAATAATAATAAAGTAAGAATAATAATAAAAATATTTATATGTATAGTATACATTTTATACCATACATTTTTAAATAAATGTTAAAAGTATAAATTTTTCTGACGAGAGCATTAATTTGTGAAGAATTAGATTTGTCTTCTTAAAATATTTACTTTATCCCGTTTAAGATTCTACATATCTATTTGTTTCTTCCTCGAAATTAGCGATCTGATGATTATACATCTTCTAAATATAATATTCTGTTTGCAGATGCTGATTTCGATACAAACAGCGTCGTGCATCTCATTGTACACTTAACTTCCATCATTACTTCATCACTAAACATTACACTTTATCCCGTCAAAAATGCTTCATTCGCAGTGCATTCACTTGATTTGTCTCTGGTCGATGCTATAAAGAAGAAGGACTTTCATTTTTTCAAAGAAATCATTGAAGATATCTTGAAAAAACAGCCGTCTAATTCAGAGTACGTCAATCCTATCAACTACGTCAATTCTTTCTCTGGAGATACGTATCTTGACATAGTTAGTAGAAATGGTCTAACAGAGTTCACGGTATATCTATTGCACAAGGGAGCGGAAATCAACAGGGTGAACGCGATACACAATCGCGGTCCTATCCACTTTGCCACCGAAAGCGGACACGTGGCCACGTTGACAGTTTTGCTAGAACATCCGATGATAAATCCGAATCTCGAAGCGAGGCAAGAGACCGCCTTACATATCGCAGTGGGAAAAGATGACTTGACGTGCGCTGGTCTGTTGCTGGAGAAAGGTGCCAGCGCAAGCATTCCGAATAGCAAGGGGTTGACGGCCCTTCGTTTGGCGGCGATGAAAGGCCAGCGCAATATGGTGGAACTGATACTAGAGAAAAACCAACAGTATCTCGACATTGACACTTCCGAAGATGACTACGAAGAGACGACGCGAGAAGTGATGCGACGAAATCTACCGGATCTATCGTTGCCACCCAAATATTTTAAAGTGAATGTGTACGAATTTGAATACTATTTAATCAAAAAAGACGAGACAGATTTCCTGATAAGGATGGAACTTTTCGAGACAGAGGCTCTTCATAGTGTAGTGGAAGAGTTATTGAAGATGACTGTGCAATACAATCGTCACAAAGCTATGATTGGAATCTTAGAAAAATTCAAGGGGAGACGATTTAACGTGAAAGCCGCAGAAATGGCCACTCTGCTAGGTCGTCCAACTATTCTTCAGAAATTGTTGCCCGAAATAGAGCCCGAGATGGCGAACAACTTGATTCTGATCGTTTGTCGACAGCTAGGAACACCCGGAAAAGTCCGCAACATGTCTGATCTACTAGAGTGTCTAAAGTTGATTTTCGAACAAAAAAAGATTAATGTTCGTTATATGGACGGTGAGTATGTTACGATGAGTGTCATAAATAGTATAGAAAAATTATTTTTTTTTTTACAACAAAAATTTCTTAAATAATACTATTTTTTAAATATCTCTTGCAAACCTTTTACAGACGTTCTCTGATCAATTATATATTTTACAGACCTAGGTAACACGCCGTTGTATTACGCAAGTCAGGCAAACTGTCACGAAGTGGTGGCTTTATTGCTCGGGCAAGGCAGTTATCTTGGTGACGTATTTAAGGTATCGTACGTATATCCCAATATACTGACAAATTGCCGTTAACGCATGTAAAGCAATATTTATTACGAGAAACATCTGTTACAGTAGTTCTCAAGACAGTTATATCGGAAAAAATCGTAGTA